TATAGGAATGCTTCTCATTTTTCTTTAATATCCAAACATATTAGCATTTTTGTATTTGTCGTGCAAGTCGATTGGCAACTTGAGTGGTCCTAGAATCCATTATTTAGTCATTTTACAAATATATTTCCTCAAATTTCTTGACTTTAAACATGTTCACAAAATAGACTCTTTAAAGCAACATAGCCTGCTACTTAATCGATCCCCTACTTCAAACCGTCCAAGAACAATAACTAATTACTCATGGATTCTTTAACACGACCCACACTTCCCATAATAGACTTCGCTAAGAATAACTTAAAACCAGGTTCAAGCTCTTGGCTTTCTTTAAGCAAAGATGTCGTCCGTGCACTTGAAGACTATGGTTGTTTCATTGTGATTTATAGCGAAGTCTCCTCAGAACTACACCAAGCGATTTTTCGTGCAGCAGAAGAATTATTTGATCTGCCGACTGAAATGAAAGTTCTAAACACTTCAGATACACCCTCCCATGGCTACGTAGGGCAAGAGCCTATCATTCCCTTATACGAAGGTTTGGGCATTGAAAATGCGACGACTTTTGAAGGAGTTCAAAGGTTCACAAATCTCTTATGGCCTTCTGGAAATGAGCGTTTTAGGTTTGTATTTAATATTTTTTCTCCCAAATTACAAGTAATTTGTGTTTGTTTCTTTTGAAAATAAGATTTAAATGAAAACACGGTAGCTGAGATGATTTAACAACCTACACTCGATCCCAATACATAACTTGTACAATTTCTTTTGGATGATCGACTAGTGAAACTGTTCTAGCATATTCAAATATTGTGGCCGGATTAGATCAAGTTGTAATGAAGATGGTGGCGGAGAATTATGGCATAGAGAAGGAGCTTGAATCACTTCTTGGATCAATCTCCTACCTTCTTCGACTGATAAAATACCGAGGACCAGAAATAAATGGAACGAATTTGGGTATTGTTCCTCACACTGATAAGAGCTTCATGTCCATTCTTCATCAGCATCAAGTGAAGGGCTTGGAGATTAAGACAAACGATGATGAATGGATGGCTATTGATCCCTATCCTTCTTCATTCATTGTCATGGCAGGCGATGCTTTTATGGTATACTCACGTAACCTTTTTCTGCAATATTTTCTTTTACACTACACACAGACATCATATAAAGGTTATACAAGTGTCAGACTTCCATTCCAAGGCAAATCACCAATATGAATAATCGTCTTTGTCTAAAAATTAAGACTATTAGCTCTTCAGCAAAGCACACACAAATCCTCGGATTTTTTTTTT